GTGTTAACCCTTCATAAAAATATGAAACCAATCTCCATGTTTCAAAACCATGATGAGGGCAAGTATAAAAAAAGTCTTGATACCTATCCCAACATTGGTAAAATGTTTCCCCTGGTTTTTGAGTGAAAGTGATGATTTATCTTTTGAAAGAATTTGTTCTATAAGAAGGGAAAAACTTCTTTAAAAATTGTTGTTGCATTTTATCCCAAGCACGAATGGATCCTGATCTTAAATTTTATAGCCATATTTTACTTTTATCTTTTAATGAAAAAGGAAAAACCTTTAATCTGATGGTATTCATGCTACGATTTAAGTCATTATATGTGTTACAGACCTCCTTAAATTCTCTTAAATACTCAATTTTACTATTTGGAAGTTCAAATCTTAGAACCAACATAGAAGTCCGAATATGTCCTATAGCCCAGATACTATTCAGTGTTTAGCCTATATCTCAAGTTCTAGAAATCCAAATGACCTCAATGTTTTTTCCTGGAAAGTTGAGACAATTTCCTAGAACTTTTATGATTTAAGTTTATTCGAATTCTAACATTAGCAATGATGTTTTTGGCAGACAAGAAGATAAGGATTGTCATCAAATCAAGAGGTGGCCACCAACTCAATAATTAGTTATCAAATCAATAGTTTTTAATTTTGGCCTATAAAAGGAGGCATTTGCGATGTATTTAGGCATCTTGGTTTTCATATCAAGATCATGTTCTTGCTCTCTTTTTATTATAATGCTTAAGGTTTACTTATATTAATCTCTTATTTATGCTTCTCCTTTCCTTCTCTTTACTTAGTTAATTTATATCTTATTTATGTTCTTATCTTGTTTTTTTTCATTATGCTTAACTAAGTTTATCATGTCAAGGTGAAAATGTTATATTGATGGTGTAAGAATAAGTTTAGTATAAAGTCAACATGACTTTGATATTTGATACTAATATATTTGTATTTGTTATCTTATTCATTCTTAATACTTTGCTTGTTAAATAGTTAATCTAGATTTATGTTGTATAATCTTAATACATCAAATGCTTGGCACATTTATAGCACAAAACGTATGATATAACCAACACTTGTGCTATGAAAGGAACTTGATTTGTTGTTAACATAAGTTATAATCATGAATATCTGACAACATTTAAAAGTATTAACATTATTTCAATAAGATAACTAATGTAATCATGTTAATAATTAATAATTTGATTGGAATCTTCTTTGTTTGTAGTTTCCAATTGAGTAATAAAAGGAGTTTATACTATATTTGTTTGAAATATCATTAATGAATCCTTTAACCTTGACAATTGTTTTTATCATTGTTTAATCCTTATATCAATATCACATCTCAAAGCTCTCTTTATTGTTGTTGTTGTTGTTGTATTATTGTTATTTATAATTTATATAGTTAACTTCTCTGTGATTCGATCCCGGTCTTGCTTGGTTATTTATTACTTTGACACCCTTACACTTGGGAGAAGACATCAATCTTTTGGTTGTGTCAGTTGGCCATTACATCAATTATCAATTACCAAATGAATAGTTTTAAATTTCAGCATATAAAAGAAGGAATTTGTCATTCATGTAGGCGTCTTGGTTTTTAGATCAAGATAATGTTCTTACTCTCTCTCTTTATATTCTTGTAATGCTTAAGTTTTGCTTTCATTAATCTCTTGCTCATGCTTTTCATTTTCTTTACTATACTTAGTTAACTTATATCATGTTTATGTTCTTATGTTGTTTATTTATGCTTTTCTTTTTCATAATGTTTAGCTAAGTTTATCGTGTTAAGGTGAAAATATTTCACTAATGGTGTTAGGATAAGTATAATATAAACTCAATATGGACTTGAATGTTTATATCCTAAATAACTTGCTATTAACATGTCTTATCTTTTTTTTTTCTTATTAATTCTTAATATCATGCTTGTTAAATGATTAATCTAGATTTGTGTTGTATAATATTTGGTACATCAAATACTTGATCCTTCATAGTGTTAAGTCAACATTGTTATTATGAGAGGAACTTGATTTGTTGTCAAATAAAGTTAGCATTATGAATACCTGATAAAATTTATAAGTATGGTATTACATAAATAAAATGATTAATATGATCATGTTGATAATTTATAAAAAGTTTATACTTTATTTATCTTTAATACTATTAATAGATCCTCTAACCTTGACATTTATTTTTATCATTGTATAATATTCACATTAATCTTGCATCTCAAAGTTCTCTTTAACTCATCATCATCATCACCATCATCATTGTTATTGTTGTTGTTGTTATTTATATAGTTCACCTCTCTATGGTTTGATCTCGGTCTTGTCGGCTTATTTATTACTTTGACACTTCTATACTTGAGATAAAACTTCAACTCTTTAATCGTGTCAGTGGTAGATTCATCTTCTTATGATTCAGGTAGTATAGATAGATTCGGATCATGAAAGTAGTAAATATTTAATGAAATTAGAAGGAATATCATCTTGTCCATCCATCTTGTGTAATTCATACCATCAAACCGATCTAATTAAATTTTGACATTCTTAGCAATTTTGATGCTAGAATTCATATTTGTCTCCATCAAAATGAACACCTTAAAATTGTTAGAAATGTTTAGGATGTAAACAAATATGGTATTGGCTTAGAGGCGTAAAAACATTATCTTTAAGATGTTTATTTGTCCCACACAGAGATACCTTCAGGATACATTTAAACCCTCTAAACCTGTAAAAGAATGAGAAGATAAGATCAAGAAAAGAATGTATATTTTTTTATTGTATTTTTTTATATATAGTAACATGCTTTTATAAACTTGAAACATAATGATGAAACAATATAACTATTCATTAAACAATATGATTGTTGATGAAACACTATAGTTGTTCATCAAACAATATAATTGTTGATGAAATAGTATAACTATTCATAAAACAATATAATTGTTCATATTAAGTTTCGAGTTCCAAGTACCAAATGTTATCCTTTAATATTATAAATATTCATATAATAACATTAGAAAGTTAAATATGAGAGGTTGTCTATTATAGTTTAATTTACTATATAATAGAAAACTCATACTTAGAAACATTAAAAGCATAGGCTCTATCTTACTAGCTAATTATAATCTTGCAGGTTTATGTTGTTGTTATGTATTTGCTTTTAAGATGCCACTGTCATGTAATCTGCGTAGCTTCTTTGAATCAATAGCTAAAAATGTTACATCTTTATTATATTTTTCATGTCTGTGAGCGTGATTCTGGCCCGTACTGAAAATAAGAAAGTGATAGAAAAAACCAGGTGCTTTAGTGGCCCATAAACGACCTATCATTTTCTGTGGCCGAAGATGGTATAATCTCAAGGTTTACAGGCATAGTAGAATACAACATTAGTAACAGTGTCAAAAACAAGCACCGTGGAATACATAGATACCAGCATGGGCCCTTCCCAGAAACTGATGCCCTTGCTCATCTTAAACTCAAACAAAAACTCAACTAGTCCAAGTCCCATATTACTTAACAAAGCCATAACTAGAGCTGTTTGTTGTCTCCCGGCCATCATATTACTGGCCTTAACTAATGATCTAAACCCACAGCACTCACTCTCCAAAACTGCCAAAACCTTTGCTAAATTTGCTACAACCACAAGATGCGCAAATGCCAGACAGAAGGGTGCTCCTAGAAACCCTAGAATAACCCGTAATCCTAGCATTCTAGAACATATTCCATAAGCAAACAGTGTACCAGGAACTGACACCAAAGTAGCAACAAAAATCACCCAAAGAGCAAGCAGGATAAGTAACTCCCAAAAACAAGTTCGGAGAAGCTTAATCCAAGCTGCCCCGCTTCTTACAAGTAACCGTCTACCATTGAGGTTTATTCCATTGTAGCTGTCTGAAACTAGTTGAACAGTAGCGGCTTGTCCAAGGAGCCCGAATGTGATGGAGGAGGGGAAGCAAACGATGATGTGTATTAAAGTTTTGGAGGCCAGTTGAGGGAGAACTCCATAGTGTTCAAGTAAATGATCTGTTATGCTGGTTGTTGAGAATGGTAACCGGGGAGAACTGCGAGTGAGAAAATGGGAGATGAAGAGTGAGATTGGGAGAGGAGAGAAGAGAAAAATAGAGATTGAATGGAAATGAGTTGGATGTAGAAGCATAACTCTAATGGATTCTTTGAAGATATGAAGAGTGTTTATCAGATAAAAAGAGTTAGGCACTTGTGCTGTCCTTCTGGGCATTATTGTGTTCAGAGGTCCGAGAATGGCTGTAGGTATGTATGTAAATATAATAATTAAGAGGCATGTGAAAGTTTGCTGGTTGATCATCTAAAGAATTTGGTTGCTTCTATGCTAATTTATCATCATTGAAGAGGTTATAATTGTTTCATTGCTTCGATGCCTTTGATTTTATTTTTAAGGTATTCAATATTTGCCACACTTCCAAGGCACTGATTTTTCTTGTTTTTTAACTGTGTCATCACGGATGGTCCCCTTTATTATCATTATTATTATTATTATTATTTAACCCATGATGATGATTGTCACCAAAAGGAAAAACATTAATTGAATTACTTGGGTTGTCTGTGCATCCAATTTACACTTTCCAGATATTTCCAAATTTCAGAACAGAAAATGGCTATTATTTATCTAATTCAACACCCCCCCCCCCAAGAGACAAAAAAAAAGATAATGATTGCCTTCAATGGGATGACATGGTTTTGTGCAACCAAGAAATACGATTGTGCACGTAAGAGTTTTTTCCTGGCTCATTACATTTCTGCATGATGTATTTCCTGGCTCATTACATTTCTGCATGATGGTGTTGGGTTTGTTGAAAGATATATATAAGTAAAAATAATAAATTTAAAATTTATTAGGGTTTCAAGAAAAGTATAAAATAGATGTAAAGTTTTTTAGGATTTATATAAAAATTGTTTGAAAATTAAATATTTTTTTAACTTTAAATATTTGCTTTAAAAATAAGTTATCGTAAATAAAAAATCGTTCAAATATTCGGTCTTTAATAATAAAGATTTAGTATAACAAATAAACTTCATACTTTAATGTTAAATAAAAATATTATTCATGGAAGAATATTAGTAACATTGATAAACCGGTCACTAAAAAATTAAGTCAAATTATTAATAATTGTTTTAATATTTTGGGGACCTGACATGTTATTTGACAATGCAACTGAACTTCTAATATAAATTAATCAATTGTTGAATTGTGAATGAATTAAATTATTTAATTTATTTAATTCTATTTAATTATAATTATAATTTTTATTTGGGTCACTATATTATGAATTTAATTGGTCACATACATTGAGAACCATTAATTAGAAATTAAATTAGGATGATTTAATTGAGTATGACTTGATTAAAAATATATTTTAAAAATTAAATATTATAATATAATTAATATAAGGATTATATTTCTAGATCTAGAAAAATCAAATAAGGACTTAATTGAGTTAATTTTTAAAATTATCTTGAATAAATATATGGATATTATTCAATGGATAAATTAATATTTTATCAATTTATAGGGTTTTTAGATTTTTCTATAAATAGTAAGTTATACCTTTTATTTTAATGGTTGTCTATTAAACTGAAAAACATATAAGTTATGAAATAGAAAGCTAGTACTCTAAACATAACATTCTTTCTCTTTTAAATTGGGATTTAAAAGATTTCTCGTTAATAATTTTTGTAGATTATCATTGGTGACCAGATAATTAGACAATTTGTAATTTGCAACAACCCAACCTTTAAAGGATTATTTAAAATTAAATAATATCAGATTTTTAGGTAATAAATCACTAATCAATTTTGGATTTGTCTAACGAGATCTTAGGGACTCCTGAATATTTTTTTTTTATTGTTTTCACTGTGTGCATTACATTCGAGAACCTATCACATAGATAATCTCTCCGTATAAAATTCTCTTGCAGATTAGTTCAATATATATGTCATTTAATAAACACCTATATATTAGTTCAAATTATTTCTCAAACCTAAATTTATGTTGGCAATTTTTTTCTTTTATAAAAGAATGAACATAATATGTATGAGTCTCAACACTTCTCATTAATATCCATTCTTAAAAGAATATCGACCAGCAACATTTAGAAACAATATTTTGATGTAATAAGAATCTCATAATTATAACAGCTTTATAATTTTTTTTTGTAAATATTTTTATTTCATGAACTTCATCTTTACTCTAAATTTTTTAATTAAATATTAAATTTATTAATTAAATATAAATAAATATTAAAAGTAAAATAAGTATTTATCAATAATAAATATATTTTATATAATTGCGACATTGTATATTCACTTGAAATGGAACACAAGTAGGCATGTAGGCTGTGCACTTATATATTTCTTCATTAGGAAACAAGTCCTCCTTGAGCGCTAGAGGAGTCCACTATATTTGAAAGCTGGTAATATCCCAAAGATCATCTCACCTTTTTTTGCAATAAAATTTCTTTTTCTTTCATTTTCATGATCATCTTCCTCGATAAGTCTGGCACCGCCTGTTGCAATTTTGTCTCTCCAAATGCTCCCAAATCAGCCTTCATGCATGTATCCATTCTTCTCATAACTCCCGGCCACAAAGTGCTGAACCCAGGGTTGGCTGCTATCTGCTTATGTAAACATCTGTAAGGAGCTCCATTGCAAGTCTTAAAGAGTCCCTTCCATACTTTCTCATCGCCCTCTCTCTTGGGAATTTCGATCGGTGATGTACTAATATTTGCTCATAGGAGGTCAAGCACACTGACACAATATTTAACGTGGTTCGGCAAAACCGCCTACATCCACGGGAGGA